CCCCAAAACCCCAAAACCCCAAAACCCCAAAACCCCAAAGTTAATTTAAATTTTTGAAAACAAGTGCAAATTATGAATCTAAACTTACTCAGTCCGCCTTCTGGGGCTACCTCTAGTGAGAGGAGTCAACTCAGCTTCACTCAACACCCAGAAAAGAGGGGTGACAAAGATCAAGAGAATTGTCATACAAATTTCAACTTGGATATAGAAGAAGAGAAGGTGCCTCCTCTTTTGCAAGAAGAATCAATTCATCTTAGTGAACTTGAATACTCCAATGACCAAAGCTCGCTTAGACAAGAGTACAATGCAACTTTGAAAAGTCTCAACTCAAGAGTAAAGTCTTCGCAGAATCTTTTCAATAAGACAGTTAATATTAAGAGCAAATAAGAGGTTGCTGGAGATAGAAGAGAAACGTAAATAAAAGGAAAATGAGAAATGCCCAGAGACATTTTAGAGGTAGTAGTTTCGGCCAAGGAGGTTCTTCTAATAATATCCCTGCACCAACCAAACAAACCGATTGTAGGTCAAATAGTTCTTTTACTGAGAATAATAGTAGGAATACAAGTATTGAGAAATTTGCTCCTCCAAGTGTCGGGACCTTAAAATCTAAAATAAATACAGCTGTTTCTAGCAAAACACAAAACCTACTGAATCTGAATGATAGAAAAATTGGGCCAGCTATAGTTTCAGATTTGATCCAATGAGTATCTGACGTGAGCAATGAAGATTTACTAGAATACATTATTGATATTGAGAAAGAGAAGCACAAACTACAAACAAAATTTTCAGAAGATTATAAAACAATGAAAAGACAAATGATCAGCACAATATCTGAGCTGGACCAAGTGAAAACATCTTATAGAAACCTTCTGGCAAAATTTGGAGGAAAGCAAATTCAAATAAGAGGATATAAGCTTGCATTAAATAATACGAACGAACTGCTTAATGAAGTTATTTATCAGATTGAAAAATGTGAATCTTTTGAGAACATTCCTATTAAAGGGTTTATAGATTCTATTAATATTAAAATCATGAAATTATTGGAAAGTAGTACCAAAGAATTACACACTTTAACTGATATTGATCCTAAGAAGAGTTTGTCTGAGTGAGATTTGAACCCGAAAGATCCGATAGAAGATGCTTTTAATCACCTTAGGTCACTTTTGACTTTCCAAACTGCTCTCAAAAGATCATATGAATATAAATTTAATGGGAAGCAATCAGATTTAAACTCGATGCATTCTTTTGGATCAAGTCAAAACTTTTCAAATTTATATAACCCAAATACAAATTATTCTGAAAATACCCAAGATCATTTTAATCCTTCTGAAAAAGTCTTAAAGGAAAGGAAAAAATCTGAAAAATCTTTAACCCAGAATAGGGATAGTAAGACTAGCTATTATCAAATGCATTCATCCAAAAGTCACTCTCGGGAGAAAAAGAAAACCAGTACAAAAATTTATTCCCAACTGATGACTGGCAGGAACTCTCGAGGATATAAAATCTCTACTAAAAATCTTGGTAAAAAGAAAAAGAGCACTCCAAGGCTGGATTGAGTTCCAAAATTAAAGATGAAGGCCAGGAGATCCTCTCCGTCGGTTCGTAAGGATGGTCAATGAAAGGCTAGATCAAAACAGAAGGTGTATAAGAGTCATTCCATCGAAAGGCTCATATAAGCTGTTGTTTAGCTATACTAAAATCTATGCTATATTAAAACTAAGCTAATGTTTCGTTTATTCTTTGAAGGGGCACCTGAGGTGCTTCAAAAATTGTAAATATGAACCTTAAATGACTTATCCCACAGTAATCTTTAGTAAAAGGCGAAAGATTAGTTTGCTCTAGGATAAGCCAAGGTTAAAAATAATTAGCTCAATGGCTTATATAAGGATCAATCTTCCAATTATTTGAAGGGGTTTTGGGGTTTTGGGGTTTTGGGG